GAGTGCAGTAGCATTTGTTAGAGCAGGAGTAATGGATCGGGTAGCCATTGTTTACTCTTCTCCATTCACCAACCGGCCCACTATTGTATTGTGCAGGCTCAGAGCAGTGACAGTAGCACTGCAGGACAGTGTTATAGATGATGTTGCACGTAAACTTTTTGACCACATTGTAGAAATTTAATTATAGGATATTATTTCCCTCTTCCTTTGCTAGGAGTTTATTGATTTGACATTCTTCATTGCGAAAATGTTGCAATGGATCTTTGGAAACACTCGGATGCATTTCATTGCACATTTGTGTTAATTTATTGTCATTTGATTATGCCGTGTTAGTAATGTCTTTAAAATTTGTCATATCTCACACAGACAGTGATGGCTGCATTGGTTTTCACTGCTGCTGTCCCTGTTAGCAGAGAATAGTTTATGGTTTTATCAAAAGCACCAAAGCAGCGCCGGACCAACATACTTGAGTTCAACTATTTGTATGATGCTAAATGAAAAAAGCAGGGGTCACCAAGGTGGTGCCCCCATGCATGAAGGGGCCCTCAGGAGCCTCATGGGGGAGCCCACATCTTCTTCAGAAAACAGCACACCAGTGGGCTAAGATTGAATTTTTTTATTTATTCTTTTATTTTAATCATTTATAGAGCTTTTCATCGCTTTTCATAGGTTTAATCATGTAAAATATTTAAGTATTTATAGAGATTTCAAAATGACAATATAATAAATAAAATTAGGAGTTAAAAGAAACAATGAAAATAAGTTGCTTACAGTAAAGTTGCCTCCCTCTCTCCTTTTCTTTATAATTCCTTCCCTTCTTCCCACCCTCCCTCCCTTCTTTCCTCCCCCCCTTGCTCCCTCTTTCTTTTCCTCCTTCATGCTCTTCCTCCCTCCCTTTTTCTACTTTCCTTCCCTACCTCCCACTCAATAAAAATGTTTATTAGTATGAAGTTAAGGTGAACGCTCATCCCTCCTGCTCATAGGTCAGTATGGGTAGCCCTGCCTATCACTAAGTACCCAGGAAGTAGCCCTCGACCTTAAAAGGGTTGGTGACCCCTACTGTAAAAGGCTCCTCCCTCCCTCCTTCTTTTTCTCTTTCTATCTCTCCCCCCCTCCTTCCTTTCTACTTTCCTTCCCTACCTCGCTCCCAGTATAAGTATGTTTATTATGTATGAAGTTAAGGTAATCTGTCCCTCCCTCCCTCCTTCTATCCCTCTTTCCTCCAGTCCTCAAAAACCTCCCTCCTGTCCTTCTTCCTCCCACCAGCCTATCCTCCCTCCCTCCTTCTTTCTCTCCCTCCCTCCTGCCTTTCTACTTTGCTTCCCTACCTCCCTCCAAATAAAAGTATGTTAATCATGTTTGAAGCTAAGGTAATCTGAACCTTCCTTCCTTCCTTCCTTCCTTCCTTCCTTCCTTCCTTCCTTCCTNATTCCTCCTGCTCATAGGTCAGTATGGGTAGCCCTGCCTATCACTAAGTACCCAGGAAGTAGCCCTCGACCTTAAAAGGGTTGGTGACCCCTACTATAAAAGGCTCCTCCCTCCTTCTTTTTCTCCTTCGATCTCTCCCTCCCTCCCTCCTTTATACTTTCCTTCCCTACCTCCCTCCCAGTCAAAGTATGTTCATCATGTTTGAAGTTAAGGTATTCTGAGCCCTTCCTTCCTTCCTTCCTTCCTTCCTTCCTTCCTTCCTTCCAATAAAAAAATATGTTTATTAGTATGAAGTAAAGGTGAACACTGATCCCTCAGTATGGGTAGCCCTGCCTATGACTAAGTACCCAGGAAGTGCTATTGACCTGCTCTAAAAGGCTCCAAAAACATTGTTGTTAAGTGACTCAGAGTTCCTATTTTGGTTTAGTTTCATCAGACCACATATGTTATATCTAGACCAGATGTCTTGATCATGATAAAGATGTCTTTTTCAATTGTGAGATGAGTGTTTAGTTCCTTTTGGTCCTTGGTGGTGTTAACTCATTGCATTTTTTAACAACTAATTTCTTAAAGTAGCACCTGTGTTTGTGAACCTTTAATGTGCAGTCCAATACTCTATTGTCGAAAAGATTGCAGTGGATTTTTAAATAGTCTTAATGTATTTTACTGGTATTGCAACAAATACCAAAATTATATCACGATCAAATATTTATCTTCACATCTCCCTGAGAGCTAAAAAGCTAAATGAGAGCATCTTAAACAAACATCATTTACACTTCCTTCTCTTGACTGGGTCTTCCTTTTTTTCTAGCTGCCTGCATGAATTGCAGACGTGCGTTGACACCTCAGAGGGGAAAATAATTCCCTTAAATAGCTTCTATACATCTTCTTACTTTTTCTGACTTCATTGTTAAATACCTCATTAATATTAGCAATTGCCAAAGTCTGATTCACTCAGCAAAAGCATCTACATTAAGAAAATAGCTTAGGTATGGAGGGCATATATAATGAAAAATAAATGTAGTATTTAAATTTTCTAAATACCCGGCTACCTGTTAGGGATGATTGAGTAGATAATCAACCATTTGCAGTAACCAGCCAGTTTTCAGATGCTTTTCCTCTTATGCTTTAATGCACATCTCTTTTGATTGGTGCAGAGGCCACAGGAGGTCCCACCCATAAGCAGTGAGTTGTAATGTATGTTTTTGTTCATAGTTTGTTCTTTAAAAAGTAGACATTTAAATGCTATTCATAGCTGTTCTGATGGGAGGCTCTTATCACATTTTTGCAACACAACATGATGACTGCCTCCCAACTTCTTAGGGGGCCTGTGCTGTTGCTGCCACATTAACCACCAACAGCAAGCTCCCCTGCAGGGTCTGTGTAAATCTTCCCATCCCGGGAAGGCTGACCGGGAGTCAGGCTTGGACAGTAAAGGCTGCTCCCCTGGCAGAGATGTGGCCATGGTTGGTACTCTGTGGATATGGGCACTGCTATGGATCATTACATCCCTCAGTGGAGCAGCAGTTGTATGTGTGTATTTGTCTCCTTCTTAAAAAATGAATGAAGGAGACAGCAAACCTAAGAAGGGCCATTAATATTAATGTGATTTTACCTCGTCAAGGGTCCTTTATTTATTTTTATTTCCAGTTCAGTTCAAGGACTGAGTTACTAACTCCCAGCCCACACAGACAGACCATAGTCCAATTTTTTGATGATAATGATATGATAACGCCATTAGCAATGTTCTACTGAGATCAGAGATCAGAACTGGACAATCTGAAGCAACACTGTTACTTTTGGCTCAGGTATTAGCTTAATTTGAGATATATTAAGTATTTTTCAGGTCAGTATTCTTCTCTTGGAGCATATTAATGCAGGCTACCCTTATCAAAAACTTGCCTGTTTAACTTAAGAGGGTTCGATCCATTGTTGAACAGGTCATGTGATGCAGAGCGCTGCTTTGCACCACACTGAGCTCCTTTTGGTTTTCTGATATGGAATTTCATCTAAAGGGATAAATGTGGCTTTATATTTTCTTATAAATAACTCCATAAATTCTCAATCTGCTTGTCTGAAGTGTAGACGGTTTGATCCTGAGTCATGCCCCTAATAATAATAATAATTGAACTTCATTCATCTCAAATTGGAGAAATTCACCCCTGCATTTAACCCATCCCCTTGGGGAGCAGTAGGCTGCCATTGTGCGGCCCCCGGGGAGCAGTGTGAGGTTAAGGGTTAGGTTCTAAACTACTACCTTTATAAAGACACGACATGACATTTTTAAGAAAGTAAAGCTGAAATCATTAGGTCCGACATTAGAAATGATCACTCATCCTCTTTATATGTGTTAAAGTTGTTGACATTATAGCAGACTACACATTTCCCCATTTGATGCCATTTCTAATTAGAAATAATGACAACTGTAGTGTAGGTCAGGGGCTTACATTTACTGCTACATTTTATGCATGTTTAGCTGACAACACTAAAAGTCAGGCTTTTTACCATCTCTGTGCTAAAGGCCATTTCCTTTTAATTAACCTTTGACAAAACTATAAAGTTTTCCATTTTCTAAACAAACAGTGGAAGCCAACATTAAATTCTCATAGGGTGACATGAGCTGAATAAAAATGATGTTTGGCATCTGTAGAGAGTGAGGCCGGTTACGCTATTATTGTACAGTGAGTGCCATTTGCAGAAGCAGCTATTGCTGATCTCCACAGTTCTAGTCAGTTATTATTATTATTATTATTAAAGATGTATGATAGATTGGTTAAGTGTTAGAAGAGTCAAACTGGAAGATTCTGACTTGTTCTCTTATTTAAGATCGTTTGATTTGCTCAGATATGTTTATTTAAAAGTTTGTATCCTCTCTGGTTTTGCATGAGTGTGACTGAGATTAAGAAGCTGCTTTTCTGTTCTTTGGCCAGCTATTAGTCACAGCGGAGTGGATAATCTGTAATGGCTGCTGTCAGAGCTCTGCCGGGGCTCCCGATGATGGGCGCATTGTGACAAACTCGTGCACATCATGTTGAGCCTCCAAACCACAAGTTCAAACTAACTCACATTGATTTGCTTACACATAGAAAATCATCCCTTGGTCTAGAAGCATTAGGACTTCTGACAAGTCATCCAGCAGTTGACGTCATTCTGGCCGCAGTTGACATCTATACAAGTGGGAGAGCTCTTCTTAAATCACTGTTACAGCAGACTGGATCTGACCTGACACTACCAAATAATCTAGTCCATCTTCTCTTTTTCTATGTTTAAGTTCATCTTACTTTGTCTCTCATTCTGTCCATCCATCGATCATTTCATCTGTCTTTCCTTTTAACGAATACATCCGTCTGTTCATCCATCCAGTTGCTTTTTTCCAGCTTCCATGAAATGATCCGCCACATTGTTATATTAACGTCTTTCCTTTTATATTGTGAAAATTGGCTTGAATTATTTAAAGAAATATGAAAATATAAGTTTTCAAAAGTATTTCTTTTTTAACTGATAAGTACTTTCCCTTCTAAAATGCTTCCCACAAGCTGATATTGCTTTGCTTTTCTCTCTGCATGTTTTAGAGCACTGTGGTTGTGGAGAAGTCCATCCAGGACCTCATGAGCCTGATGCAGGATTTAAGTGCTTACTCCAACCAGTTCCTGGAGATGGTCTGTGACAAACTCAAAGAATACAAGGAAATCTGCAACACAGCCTATAGGTAAAACCATCTACATATGGATGCAAACACATGGAGAGATAAAATGAGTGATAAACTGCACAGGACTTGCTGGGAGCCCATCTGGTCTGGGTTAAAGGTCATTCTAGGTCTGTTTTGGGTCCCTGAGCAATAAAAAACAGACCTTCAGACGGTGTAAAATGGTTCCATGTTTTTTCAATGTAGAGATAAAAGAAGTTTAAGGGTACTGAATTATTTTTAAAGCACTTTGTCTCTTTTTGTTGAGTCTTATAAGTTGAATAGTCTGTGTGGTTCATGTGTGTGTCCTTAGGGGGATAGTCCAGTGTGAGGAAAAACTGACGATCAGCGCTTCCTGGGCTAAAGATGAGGACATCACTCGTCTCCTCCAGTCCCTTCCAAACTGGGCGAACATGGCGCTACCCAGACAGACAAGACAGAAAAGGGAAGATGAAGAGGACTTTACACGGTACGCTCTAAAAACGGTTATTAGGACTCATCGGCAGAATGTTATTTAAATGTTATTAAAGCTGATCCCAAAAAAACTCTATCTTAAGAATAATGAGAAAATGTAAAAAATAAGGAAAGTGTATGGTGAACAGAAAGTGGTTTGAGTCTTATCAAAATAGCCTTTGAATGTGCACCGTCTGCAGGGAACAGCGAGGCTCGTTGATGTGGAATAGCAAAGTAAATAAATTGCTTATGTGGCAGAGAAAGCCAATCTGTTCTGTGCACTCTGCCTCCATCTCTGACTTTATTTTTTTATACACAAACATACAGAACAGCTTAAAGATAGCAAAGGCAGGAATACAATCAGTCTGTTTGATATGAGATGCTTTCATCGTCGTGAGACTGGAATAACCACTGCACCTCTCTCAGCCCAGTGCTTTATTTAAGCCCGGTTAATTAGTTAAATGCGCCTGAATGTTAGTCGTTTTTCTTTCTTTTTCTTCCCCATCTGCCATTCAAAGGATCTTGAATTTGTGGGCATCCTGGTGACTCTGGAGGCCAGTCCATATGTCTTGAGTTTGGGTACCATGGTTACCTAATTTTCTCCCCATCTGCCTTTTCTGTTTTCCAGTATCCTTTAACCTCATCAAGCATCTCTATTTTCATCACTCTGTAAAGCTTGTTTAGTTATTTCCTAAAATGTTTTTTTCTCCTCCAACAGTTCAGGATTTCCAAATTCCTTTTTAATTTTGCAATATATATTCTTCCCTGGTGCCGTCCTTGTACTTATTAATCCTCTTCCATTTTTGTTCCTTCTCATGAATCACTGTAAAGGTCAAGGCAATAATTTGCTGCTAGATAGCCAAGCAAATCAGCTTGAGATTATTAGAAACTGTTTTGTAAAAGTTTTCATGAGCTCTCCTGTATTTCAGGAGCCACTCATGTTTTAACCTAATGAATTTAGCTTTCTTTAAAGCAGTTTGACCAGAAATTAATGTCCTTTTAGCCATAAAATATGTCTTTAAGTCTTTAAGTCATATTTAAATGTCAAATCATTCTGGCTTAAACATGTATATAAATGTATTCTTTATCAGACCATATTGTCCCTAAAGTTAGAAAATTTCTATTTAAAAAGAAATCATGTCTTAAAATCTGTGTTGTTTTTTCTTCTTCGTTATTTTATGCAGGCCAGTTAGTTATACGTCAGCTCCTACACCTACATTCGGCCAATCATATATAAACGGCCATCTGTCAATCAAATTTCTTCGGTCATAGGATCTTGATTCATGTGTCGCATCTCATATATGCAACAGTTGAAATAAGAAATAAGAATCATTTACTTCACCATTGAGTTCAGTCCAAGTGTTCAAGATGATGGACATCTGTGTCTTCAGCAGGCGTAGGGCTAACAGAACTGGCAGCGTTGCGAGGCAAGGGCTCAAACATGTACGGCTGTAAGCCTTCTACACCAAACCAAGCTTCTGCCGCCATGGAGTCCTCTTCCACTACAACTTTGTCCCCGCTTTCCTCCTCTGAATAAAAAAATGTATGACGAAAGAGACTCATCCACGACCTCCGACACAAACTCTTGCATGTTTTCGCTGTCCATAGCGTTCCTTGACAGTGTCGTTGCTAAGTGCTACTTGGTCTCAATGTAGTTTCCCATCGGTAACCTACTAGCACTAAGTTGCTAACTGGTTAGCAAGATGCTTCCGAGACACCAGCCACAACCAAATGCTTGCAAAATTTCCGCCACAACAATCACGCCCCCTTGATAATCGACCAATCATATTCACTTTATTCACTCGTGTAAACTCGGGCACCACTTGGGAGAATTCCGAAATGCAACCGTTGGAACAGCTGTTTTCCTATGACTTTAAAGCAGATATTTAAATTGTTAGTAATACCAAAGTCCTGTCATTTAATAACTTGCTAAATTATTTATTCACCTTTAGTCTTTTTAATGGTTTGTATTAATAATGTGTATATAATTTATGAAGTATACAAATTATTTATAAAAATGCCCATAATCAAAATAAATGTCTGAATAATTCTATAAGCAACCATAAATCTCTGTCATTTCAGCGCTGCTTTCGCTAAGGAGTCGGAGGTGCTGACGGGGAACCTGGGAGATAAATTAATCCCTCAGAACGAGATCCTGCGTGACGTCAGCGACCTCAAGGCTCTGGCCAACCTTCATGAGAGCATGGAGTGGCTTGCTGGTCGCCTTAAGGCGTTCTTCACCAACCTGCCTCAGGTGTCCAGTGAGTACATCTGTCTCCTGTTAAACTGGACATCCCCTGATTTATTAATAAACTTAATTTAGGTGCTGAATCTAACTTTTAGAGCACAGAGACAAGCATATGCTATAGTTTTTCTCTTTATGTCTGGAACAATGACACCAACGCAGACATCGGTTGTTTATTCCTTCTACAGAAAACTCCATTTTATTTTTCAAACTGTTTGACTGATTAAAAGCAAACAACCTCTTACCTGTGCAGTTACTTACTTTCCTCTGAGACAGAAAGGTTTTATACAGTTCATGACTGCAGTTAGAATAAAACCAACAGACATCTATTTTACTGATGTTAAGTATCACATTATTATTTTATAGTTTTCCCAAATAATGTCAGATTAATAACACCTGAATGAGGATGAAAGCTTTTCACATTTATGCATGTAGTGTTTCTGTTGCAACCTGTTCCTTATAAGGTTTTTGTTTGAGTTTATGGAAAACACTTATTTCTTTCCTCACTGGAGCTGTGAAAAAGCCCTTCAAATGCTCATACACTACAGGCAGACGAACATCTTTAATCCATGGTTCTTCTTGTGTTCAGCAATATCCCTCAATCACGACTCTAACATTTACTCAGTTCTGAATCATCATCTAGTTATGTGCTATAATCCTATTCTATTCCCCCTTCTGTATTTATCCCATACCTGTAGTCTTAATGTTGATCTTCACTTTTTATATTTAGTTTTTACTTTTAATAAAATGATCAAAATCCCCAGAACTTTTGCATTAAAATAATTTGAAATTATTATTTTTTTCTCCTTAAAATGAGTTTAAAACTTAAAAGTAATTTTTCAGTTAGATAAGAACAAACTTTCTAAGACTTTCTAAATCTAAGACTGTTGAAGCGTTTTTAGACATAAAATTCACAAGCATAGCTTCTTCTGTCTTTCTATGCAGTAATTCAGAGCTTGGTCATTTTGTGTTTCTGTTTCTTGTAGCTTTAAGAGGCCATTTCTGAGTGTATAAGTGTCAAAACAAGGTTGTGCGCATGTTATTACCTCTTTGGTTAATTATGAACTTTAGGAAAGGCCACATATAACAAGAGCTCCTCCTGGGTGAGAGTTTTAAAAGTTTAAAATAATCCTAAAAATAAAAGCTTAACTTCTAATTGTATCCTAAATGACTCTAATATTGCTTATTTGCATGGTGAGTCAGTGTATTTGAGCGACTATAATTGGAAAAAAAAGGCAGTTTACCAAATATGCTTATTGATGCTGGTGCAGTTTCATATTAGGTAATTTTATACTAAATTAAAGGTCAGTTTGAGTCATTTCTGCATTTGACCATCTGTATTTCAGAGTTCTTACTTTGCTGGTTTGTTGTATCACATAATAATCAGTTGATATCGATAATTGTTGACTTTTTTCTTGTTCTTTCTAGAATAAGGACAAGAAGGAAACATTAAACATGTATATATATTTTTAAATTAAAACGATAACCATATTTAATGGTAAACTTTTTGTTCCACCAACTGAGCTTAAAGTATCTTGACTGCAACAATTTAATATACTGAATACTTTCCTCTGCCTACATATCCCAGAATGCTCTGCAGTTCTGGATCAGAACTCAGTGAAATTATAGAACCTGTTAATGATTGTATTTTCTGTTGATATCAATCAAGTGTCTATTGCGATGCATATTGTTATTGTTTATTTCTAACCCAAGTTTCCTTCAATGTTTTTGAGCAATTTGAGCATCATTAAATTTAAATCCACATTTGCAGCATTATCAATGCAATCTTTGGTCGGTAACTTTAGATAAATTTTTTACTCTTGAGATAATGAGATCATTCTTTTTGTTTATACCGTAGTAAATTAGGAAATACAAAATAATCTGCTTAATTAGCTTTGTTAAAGTGTCTGCGTGCCTGGTTGTGTGTGTTGCAGGAGAAGGGGGGCCACAATGGCAGCCACTGAGTGCTTTTAGCTGATTATTACTTCAGTGTTGAAGTGTCCATGAAGTAGGGGTAGATTTGTTTTTGTACTTGGTAGGAGGACACCACCTGCACCAAATAAGCCTTGGCACATCTTAGAATCTCTGTCATAGAGGAAAGTCTTAATTTCAAAACCTACATAGAACAATAAGGTCTTTTAGAACTGTTTCAACAAATAAATGTCCTTCCTTTATACTTTGATCTCTAATTCAAGGTGCTGTTCAAACCTATTTAGGAGAATAGATCCAGACATACACACCTGGTCAAGGCTTTGCCTTTAAATTGTTTTACCCAGTTGAAGGCAAAGCAGTGAATTTGTCCTTTGGAACTGGTGTGAGTCGACAGAAAAGATTCAAATCGATGAGTGAAACCTTAAGCAGGACCCATCTGTGATCAACTCCTGTAGTCTACGATTAGAAGAAACACAAACTGGAGAGTAAGGAAAATTAAATGTTTAAAAAAGTCCATATCTGATAGGACTGCAGATGGTTTTCAGAATTTGGCTTCAACAGCATAAATCCATGGACTGAAGCTGCCATATGGCAGCAGACCAGGCTGCCCATGGCGGCAGGAGGCTAAAGTTTCTTGGCACCATTTTAATAGTTCAGACTAATTCATGTACCCTATCATGATGGAAAAGTTAACTGCTTTTGCAAATATTCTAACCCAGAATGAGTTCCCCAGTAGGATCAGTTTTATTGCAAAAACTGTTTTTTTGTGTTTTTATTTTATTTTTATTTATATGGAACACTCACCTTCATAGTGAATATGTTAAAGCACATGTAAAAAAAACTATTTGGGGCTTTACTGCCATATCTGGGTGTGCTGACAGAAAGAGTGGTACAATATGCACCTTTCTGAGAGGAATAAAGGGTCCTTTAACCTTTATCAGCCTTTGTGTTGACTCTTTGGCTCCAGACTTCTGATTGCTCATTGAACTTGCACTATTTTGCCCCTCCATATCGCAACTTTCCTTCTCGAAATGAAATAATTAAATATGAGATATTCTTATTTGGGTTTGACTTTGTCACTGCCATATCTTTCTTTATATACTTCCTTTCGCTCTCGCACTGACGGCAGCTTTCTTCGTCTCCTCACAGATAAGAATTCAATAAAAGTGCAGGAAAGGGACGTGACATAATTATCATTAATTCCTGCGGGTGGCACTAATGGGAAGGATAGGGCAGTAACTTATCATGCTGGGACAGCCTCCTTATTGTTCATTATTTGGTGTTTGGTGAGCTGATGGCGGACTACATGTGCGTGAGTTTGCTTGGCGGTGTGTGTGCGTGTGTGTGTACATAGCCGTGCGCTGTGAGATGGGACGAGGCTACGGCAGGAGGAAAAACTGGCCACCTTATCTCATCCTCCAACCCACCACCACTGCATAGCTCACATCTATTTCTCTCCAAATTGGATTTTATATTACAAAAGCAGTCAGGTATGAACAAGTCACTTTCCTCTTCTCTCCTTGTTTTACTCTTTTCTTTTTTTTTTCTTTCTTTCTGCTTTTACATTCGATTTCATTTTCTTTTGCTCTTTCCTTTTTACCAGTTTCCCCTACTTAAGAGGGTTTCTTTTCACTATATAAGAAGATTTTTTTACCTCCTGAATTTGGCCACGGCTGTGTGATCTGCCAGATAAGGATGAGAGCATATCAAGTATTTTGACAGCTTCAATATTCTCACTGTGATGAACCAGTTAGTACATGCACATGCAAATTGAATTGAAATTTTTCTCAGACTGGTTAAAAAGGTTTCAAAGGTAAAGAATCTGTACATGTATGATTAGTAATAATGTTTGCATGGTGTTTGTGATTATTTATCAGGGTGGGAAGCCGAATAGAGCCTCATCACATGTCTGCTTGCAGGACTGGACTCATCTAATCTGTTCTCACAATATTTATTCAAGAACACAAAGGCCTGGAAGGCAACATAAGAAGGCGGCCTTGTCTGCTTCACATGGTGCACATGTTTTGAAAGACTCTTAACAGATTGTTTAAAAGGTGTGCATTGTTATGTTTTGCTATTCAGCCTTTTGCAGATCACTGTCAGATTGGTCCAGTGCATTTTCACATACCGTGTTTTCCGGACTATAAGCTGCTACTTTTTTCCCATGCTTTAAACTATGCTGCTTATAAGAAGGTGCAGCTTTTCTGTGGCTTTTTCCTAACCGCCAGAACATGAACTCCCTCTATTGGTCCTATACTGTATGTCATTATAATACAAACTCACAAGTAAATCATATACATACACTCATCCTAACAGCCTGAAATCCAAAAAAATAATTAAAACCCTCAAAAACTGAGAGTAAGCAATTCATCACTTACACAACATAAAATATCTCTACCTCCCCATATAAAAAATAAACTCTTTCAAGCCTGACACTATCTTCTAATAGGCAAACTCTGTCCTAAGACGTGCAGCTACCAGCCCTCTGAATATCAGGTCAACATCTACAGAACCTTTCTCCTTCATTTTATTTCTCCTGCTGAGCCAAATGCTCATTTAACCGCCAGAGGGGGAAGTCAAAGTTGGAAATAAAAGAATAAGGGGTAAATTTTAATTTAGCACAAGAACATGCTAGCAGCATGGAACGGAGAACAAATGTCCCGAATTCAAACATTTTCAAATGTATTTGCTGCATTAAAGCTGCTAAACCAATAGAGACTGCTATCTATCTATCTATCTATCTATCTATCTATCTATCTATCTATCTATCTATCTATCTATCTATCTATCTATCTATCTATCTACTTATCTTCTTTTAGGTCACAACTATATTCAAGCTCTTATAAAATAGAAGTAATAGTATAACATAGAAAATGGGGAATAGATCCGGCTGTAAGAAGACTTTTTCAAGATGTATTTTTTCTGTTTTAGTTGAAGGCCTTTTTTCACTCAGCAGCTCTTTCTATACATGTGTACCTTCGTTCATGCTGTTGGGCTGACTGTCTTTCGGTGGGCGTAGAGGCAGACCTTGAATCGAGTCTTCTGGTTTCAACCACGTAAAGCTGTGGGCATCCCTTTAGCGAG